AATGAGGTCATTAGGGTGGGTCCTAATCCAATATAATTGGTGTCCTTCTAAAGAGGGTACATTTGGATACAGACACATACCCTGGGAGAATGGCATGTGAAAATAAAGGCAGAGATCACGGTGATGATTCTACAAGCCAAGAAACCCAAAGATGGTGGGAAATGCACCAGAAAGTAGGGGAGAGGGAAAGCAGATCTTTCTCACAGCCCTGAAAGGGAACAAACTCACCCCTGATCTTGGACTTGTAGCTTCCAGAAACTGTGAGACTATACATTGCTGTTGTGGAGCGCCTGGTTTGTGGTACTTTGTTTACAGCAGCCCTTGCAAAGTAACAGAGTAACAACTAGATCATTAAAATGGCTTTTTGTTGGTAGCTCACTATTGTGGTTTTTTTTTTTTTTTTAATTTTTTTTAATGCTTTATTTTTTGAGAGAGAGACAGAGTGTGAACAGGGGAGGGGCAGAGAGAGAGAGAGAGGGAGACACAGAATCCGAAGCAGGCTCCAGGCTCTGAACTGTCAGCACGGAGCCCAATGTGGAACTCGAACCCACCCATGAACTGCAAGATCATGACCTGAGCTGAAGGTGGATGCTTAACTGACTGAGCCACCCAGGCGCCCTGTGGTGTTCTTTTTTTTTGAAAAAGTTAAAAGATTTAGCGTCTCTGCTACAACCAAACCATTTATAAGAACAAGATTTCTCAGTGCTTACACTGGATGAAAAGAAGGTAGAAAAATAATTGATGTTGAACCCTGTCTCATTTTAGCAATAGGTAATAATTTCTTATGGGTTCATTAACTAATTGGGCCTATCCATCTCTTTAAGAGCTGAATTTCCACTAAAAGTTTTTTTTTTTATAAAAATTCTTATTTTGACACTGCATTATAAGAAACAATACAGAGCTCTCATATACTCTTTACCCAGTGTCTCCCAATGGTAACATTTTGTAACTATAGTACAGTATTACCAAAGGCTACTTTTTATGTTTAACATTTCATTTTCAATGTAACTTCTGTTGTTTTTGAGCAGTCTGCACTGCCAATAGCTGTAATGATGGCATAATCTAAATACATTTTTAATACTTGGAAATTCATGGTTATAGGAAATTAAAATTTCATTTTATATGCTTTTCTGGCAGAGAAGTCTGATCAATAAAAGCTCTTCAAGCATAAAAACATACTACATTAGGATAAACTTCTATGCAGGAAGATGGGTAGAATTCATAAATTAGAGGGAAAAAAGGAATGATGAAAAATTTTCAAAAGTTAAACAACATGTTCTTGCTTTTAAAAACAGGTGAGGGTTGGGGCGCCTGGGTGGCTCAGTTGGTTAAGCCTCCGTCTCAGGTCATGATCTCACGGTTAGTGAGTTCGAGCCCCTCATCGAGCTCTATGCTGACAGCTCAGAGCCTGGAGTCTGCTTTGGATTCTGTGTCTCCCTCTCTTTCTGCTCCTTCCCCTGCTCATGCTGTGTCTCTCTCTGTCTCTCTCAAAAATAAATAAACATTAAAAAAAAAACAAACAAACAGTGAGGGTGGAAATAAAATTGATACATTATTTATTCATATTTTATCAGAAAAAGTTAAAAAGTGATGTAAAGTTTTTATCTTAAAACATTAATATTTACAACACATTGGAATTATATATTTTACATCTATTTATGACGAAAAATGCTTGATGTCAAGTTAAAATGGAGTGAAGGAATATACCTACATTCATAGCAGCATCATTCACAAGAGCTATGACGTGGAGGCAACCCAGGTGTCCCCCGATAGATGAAAGATAAGCAAATGTGGGATGTCCACACAATGGAATATTATTCAACTTTTAAAAAGGAAGGAAATTTTGACATATACTACAACGTGGCTAAACCCTGAGAACCTTATGACGAGTGAAATAAGCCAGTCACAAAGGGACAAATACTGTGCTCAGAACCATAGGGACAGAAAGTAGATTGGCAGTTGCCATGAACTGGGGGGCAGAAGGTTGGGGAGTTATTATTTGATGAGTACAAAATAGGAGTTCTGGAGATGGGTGGAGATGGATGGTAGTGATGTCTGTACCATAATGTGAATGTGCTTAATACCACTGAACTCGACACTGAGAAATGGTTAAAATGGTAAATATTATACGTATTTTACCACAATAAAAACTTCAAAAAAAAAAACCAAACCAAGTAAAGGAGCACAGAGTCTTTCGTCTTTGGGGTGGGATACAAGAGCAGTAAAATCTGATAACAACCGCCACTCTTTATTTATCCATTCCTTTGTGTTTTTTTATTTTAAAAAATTTTATGTTTATTCATTTTTGAAAAACAGAGAGAAACATAGCACAAGCAGGGGTGGGGCGGAGAGAGAGGGGGACACAGAATCCGAAGCAGGCTCCAGGATGTCAGCACAGAGCCCAACGCAGGGCTTGAACTCACGAACGCAAGATCAAGACCTGAGCCACAGTCAGATGCTCAACCAACTGAGCCAGCCAGGCACCCCTCTCTGTTCCTTTCTTAATGGATCTTTAGGCTGTTTCTAGTTTTTGCCGTTATAAACAATGCTACGGTGAGTATCCTTGTGAATATTTCCTACAGTCTATGTACAAGATTTTCTCACAAGATTTTCTCTAGGGTGTCAGCTTGGGAGAGGAAGGGCTTCAAGAGGATGCCAACTGACCTGGAACATGGGCTTCTCTTCAACCTCCCTAGCCATTGGCAAGTTTCTCTCCAAAGTGATGATACCAGTTTATCCTCACACCAGCTGTGGATGAGTTTCCATTTACCCACGCGCTTTATAATTCTTAGTTTGGTCAGTCTTTTCAATTCTGTCACTCTGATAGATGAGTTGGTATCTTGTTGTTTAAACTTGCATCTCCCTAAGGTTGAGAGACAGTGTGTCCTTCCCATGCGGCCATTCAGCTGACCTCTTCCGCCAAATGCCTGTCTGCATTCTTTGCCTACAGGTCTGTTGAACATTTAAAAGACAAATTTTGTTGGTGCTTAGGGAACCTGATTTCTTTCTAACCAGTTGTGCAGTATTGATTCCACAATAAATGAGGCTTCAGCTCTCCTTTTTCTTTCTGGCTGTGCTGAGTCCTGCTGTACTCATGGTTAAGGCTCTGGCAAAAACAAACAAACAAACAAACAAACAACAACCCAGGTGCAAAATAAACTTACAAAAAAGGCTCACTTTCTTCCTTTCTTCCCTCCTTCCTTTCCTCCTTCTTTCCTTCCTTTTTCTTCCTTTCTTCCTTTGTTTTTTCTTTCTCCTTTCCTTTCCTTTCCTATCCTTTCCTTTCCTTTCCTTTTCTTTACTTTCTCTTTCTCTTTCTTTTTCTTGAGACAATTTGTTGTCTTGACCCAGTGTATCCAAGATAGAAACTTGAAAAGTCAGTGGAAATGTTTCTTTGTACACAAGATGGTTACTTCTTTACTTGGGCGCTGGTGGAGGATCCATGAAGTAAGCTCAACGCAACCATGAAGCTTTCACGCTCATGTTTTATAAACTGTGACCTTGCCCGTGGGAAGCCCCCGTGCTACTTTCTGAGGGCATCTTCGCGGTTCTCTTCAGATACCTGCCGGGTGAGCTGTGGAAGCTGGAGGGCGCAGCAATGGAAAATTGCAAGGGCGGGGGTGGGAGGCGATTGTTTCCACAGCTAACCACCCTCGCCTGGGGCAGGCGGAAAAGGTTCCAACTCGTCCTACAGCCCACTGACCCATTAATTACAGTTTCCTCCTCTGCGAACAGGAAGACAGGAGAGTGAAGAGGAAGGTAGAAGGCGAAGCTTGAGAAGGAGAGAAAAGACCTGGAAACCCGAGGGCTCTCCCCATCCTCCCTCCCTCCTCCTGTAGTCCTCCAGCTCCTCCCTCCTCTTTCCGTTTTTCTGGGAGCGGGGTGAAAGGGGTGAGAGGATTTCCCAGGAAGGTTTGCAATTTCTCAGGTTAGCAGGAATGGGAGAAATGAGCCTCCTCTCCGCACCTGACATTGAGGCGAACTGTCCATCAGGAACATTCCTAGCGCAGAGCGGTGCAAGAGGACTCCCTAGGCCCCACAGTCAGCTTCTAACTTGGACTGTGGAGAATGTGTTCCCATGCCGCCCCCCCCCCCCGCCCCCA